TTGAACGTTTTAGATAAAGGAGGGAAGTTTTTATTGCATTTATGGATTAGAAAAGGCATATGATAGAGTGGATAGAGGAGCAATGTGGCAGATTTTGCAAGTATATGGAATAGGTGGTAAGTTACTAAATGCTGTAAAGAGTTTTTATGAGGATAATGAGGCTCAGGTTAGGGTGTGTAGAAGAGAGGGAGACTACTTCCCGGTAAAAGTAGGTTTTTAGACAGGGATGTGTAATGTCACCCATCGTTGTTTAATATATTTTAGTTTGGGGTTGTAAAAGAAGTAAATGCTAGGGTGTTTGGGAGAGGAAGGGATTGAATTAATGGGAATAAAAATACATAATGGGAATTGATACAGTTGCTTTTTGCTGATGATACTGTGCTTATGGGAGATTCTAAAGCAAAATTGCAAAGGTTAGTGGACGAGTTTTGGGAGTGTGTGTAAAGGTAGAAAGTTGAAAGTAAACATAAAAAAGAGTAAGGTGATGAGGGTATCAATGATTTAGATAAAGAAAAATTGGATATCAAATTGGGGAGGAGGAGTATGGAGGAAGTGAATGTTATCAGATACTTGGGAGTTGATGTTGTCAGCGGATGGATTTATGAAGGATGGGGTTTAATCATAGAATTGATGGGGGAAAAAGGTGAGTGGTGCATTGAGGTATATTTTGGAGATAAAAAAAACGTTATCTATGGAAGCAAAGAAGGAATGTATGAAAGTATAGTTAGTACCAACACTCTTATTTGGGAGTGAAGCTTGGGTTTTTAATGCAGCAGCGTGGAGGCGGTTGGAGGCAGTACGATGTCCTTCTAAGGGCAATGTGTGTGTTAATATTAGCAAAAAATTTGGAGTGTGGAAATTAGGAGAAGGTGTGTGAGTTAATAAAAGTATTAGTCAGGGGGCCCCTGAAGAGGGGTTGTTGAGGTGGTTTGGTCATTTCGAGAGAATGGATCAAAGTAGAATGACATGGAGAGCATTTAAATCTGTGGAGAAGGAAGGCGGGGTAGGGTCATCCTCGAAAAGGTTGGAAGGAAGGGGTAAGGGAGGTTTTTTGTGGGTGGGGGCTTGGACTTCCAGCAGGCGTGTGTGAGCGTGTTCAATAGGAGTGAATGGAGACGAAATGGTATTTGGGACCTGACGATCTGTTGGAGTGTGAGCAGGGTAATATTTAGTGAAGGATTCGGGGAAAAATCGGTTATTTTATATAGCCGGACTTGGTCTTAAAAATGGGAAGTACAATGCCTGCAGTCTAAAGGAGGGTTCAGAATATTGGCAGTTTGGAGGGATATGTTGTGTATCTTTATACATATATGCTTCTAGACTTTTGTGTTCTGAGCACCCTGCAAAAACAGTGTTTATGAGTAAGTGAGGTGAAAGTGTTGAATGATGAAAGTATTTTCTTTTTGGGGTTTTTTCTTCTTTTTGGGTCACCATGCCTCGGTGGGAGACGGATGACTTGTTAAAAAAAAAAAAAACTTACAAAGATATAAGGCTGTGAAGCTGGCATGGACATTCACCTGACGGAAAACATGGATCCCTGCCACTGCAGAAATTTTTGCTGATTTACCTTTTTTCCCTCATGTTTTTTTATATTTACATTATTTTTATGTTCTGATAATTACAATTTGTAGTAGTTTCTTGTGATTTTATAGCCAATCTTTGTTCTGACACTAATATTAGGTACAGAAATAGAAAATGAACCAGTCACAAGCACACTGACAGGTGAACATTTCTCATCTACTTGGTCACATACTATTGCCTAGAATTTTTTTTTTTTTTTTAACAAGTCAGCTGTTTCCCACTAAGGCCGGAGTGACCCCAAAAGAAAAAAATTTGTCATCAAACAACACTTTCACCTCACTCATACATAATCACAACTCTTTTTTAGAGGCACTCAGATATGACAGTTTAGAAGTCCCTCCAAGCTGTCAATATCCCAAACCCCTCCTTTAACCCTTAAACTGTCCAAGCAGATCTACGTTCACATGCATAGTGCTCCAAAAGTAGATCTACGTTTTTTTTTTTTACATATTTTCAAATATAACAAACAAACAAAAAAGTAGAATCAACGTTTTTTTCACGCGTTTTCAAATGTAAAAAAAAAAAAAAAGATCTTACTTTTTTTACATACTTTCAAATGTTGAAAAAATGTAGATCTACGTTTGGACAGTTTAAGGGTTAAAGTGCAGGCATTGTACTTCCCATTTCCAGAACTCAAGTCCGGCTGACCAGTTTCCCTAAATTGCTTCACTAAATATTACCCTGCTCACACTCCAAACAGCTTGTCGGGTCCCAAAAACCGTTCATCTCCATTCACTCCCATCGAACATGCTCACACACGCTTGCTGGAAGTCCAAGCCACTTGCCCACAAAACCTCCTTTACCCCCTCCCCCTCGAGGACGACCCTACCCCTCCTTCCTTCCCCACAGATTTATATCGCTCTCCAAGTCACTCTACTTTGATCAGTTCTCTCTAAATGATCAAACCACCTCAACAACCCCTCTTCCACTTGACTAATACTTTTAGTAAATCCACGCCTCCTCCTAATTTCCACACTCCGAATTCTCTGCATAATATTTACACCACACACTACCCGTAGACAGACTCTCCACTGCTCCAGCCCATCCTCCTCTCTCAGCATTTATAACCCAAGCTCACACTCATATAAGATTGTTGGTACCCACTATACTTTCATACATTCCTTTCTTTGCCTCCATAGATAACGATTTTTCTCTCCAGAGATACCTCAATGCACCACTCACCTTGTTTCCTC